TACATGGTCCTTGTGGTAATTTGAACAAGAAATCTCCTTGCATGGTAGATTGTGTATGTAACAAGCATTATCCAAGATCTTTCAAGTCTATCACTACCATTAATGCCGATGGATACCCAGAGTATCGAAGAAGAGACCATGGAATATCAATTAAAAAGGGAGATATCACGATTGATAATACATTTGTGGTGCCTTACAATCCAGCTCTTCTAAGGAAATATCGTGCACATATTAATGTAGATGGTGCACCCAATCACGTTCCGTAAAATACTTATTCAAGTATGTGAATAAAGGCCATGATATGATCACATCAGCATTCTATGAGAGAAACTCCTCTAGACAGAAAAATGACACAATTGATGAAATTAAGTTGTACTACAATTGCAGGTATGTGGCTGCATGTGAGGCAATGTGGAGAATTCTTTCCTTTGACATACACTATCGAACTCCATCTGTTGAGAGACTATGTTGTCATTTGCCGGAAGAGCAAACTCTCATGTACAGAGAAGATGAGGATATAAGTTCGGTCCTTAATACGAAGGGAAAACAACATACCACTTTGACTGCTTGGTTTGAAGCGAATAGTTGTTACGATGAAGCAAAGTGTTTGTCATACATTGATTTCCCTTCAAAATTTGTCTGGAAGACTGATAAGAGAGTATGGGAGAGAAGACAAAAGGGAAACAAAATTGGAAGGATACATAATATCCCGCCATGTTCGGGTGAGCTGTGGTATCTTAGAATTTTGTTAAATAAAGTGAAAGGATGCACCAGCTTTAAAGATATCAGAACTGTTAATGGAGTTGAATTTCCAAATTTCAAAGAAGCCTGTTACGCTCTTGGATTGATTGATGATGATCGTGAGTATGTAGGTGCACTCAAAGAAGCAAATGTCTGGGGTTCTTCTAAATATCTGAGGATGTTATTTGTCACTATGCTTTTATCATACGCAGTACACAGACCAAGGAATATATGGGATTCATGCTGGGAAATGCTTGCTGAAGATTTTTTGTACCAAAATAATGTGCACTCAATCAATACCGGTAAGCGTGTTTTGCCATGTACTTCGTATTTGTTTTCCTCTTTTAATGATGTTGTTCTCCATAAATTAATTTAATTTCTTTTATAACAAGACCAGAGAATATTTTGACTCTTTGCAAAAATAAATGTCTGGTGGAGATTGAAAAGATCTTACAAGGAAATGGAAAAAGCCTTGCAAATTTCGTGGATATGCCAAAATTAGATAGTGCTAATATTTGTGAACATCAAAATACTCTTATACGTGAAGAGTTAGATTATGATAAAGAAACCTTAGCACGAGAATTGCCTGATCTCATTGACAAATTAACAAATGAGCAGAGGAATGTTTACTTGAATGTTTTAGATGCAGTGAATCAACATCTGGGCGGTAACCTCTATTATATCATTGCATAGTGTAAATGTAATATCCGAGACTTTTTAATCAATTTTTTCAACCTCCATTGCAGGATTTTTCTTTGTTTATGGCTATGGAGGTACGGGGAAAACTTTTTTGTGGAATACACTTGCAACATCATTAAGGAGTAAAGGGGATATTGTTCTTGCAGTTGCATCGAGTGGGATAGCATCATTACTTCTTCCAAGGGGTAGGACATCACACTCTAGATTTTCTATTCCCTTAAACATTGCCGCCCACTCTACTTGCAATGTTCGTCAAGGAAGTGCAAAGGCAAAACTGTTACAGGCCACGTCTTTGATTATTTGGGATGAAGCTCTGATGGTTCACAAGCACTGCTTTGAGCCTTTAGACCGCACGTTGCGAGACATCATGAGATCATCTAATCCAGAAAATGAAGAAAGGCCATTCGGAGGGAAGGTTGTTGTTTTGGGGGGAGACTTTAGACAGACACTGCCAGTCGTCCCGAAGGGGGGAAGAGCAGATGTGGTGATGGCAGCGATCAACTCATCACATCTTTGGGATCACTGTATTGTACTTCGTCTCACAAAGAATATGAGACTGATGACAGATCAGGATGACTTTAGGAAACAACAAACTGAAGAGTTTGCTAAGTGGGTTCTTAAGATCGGCGACGACGACATTGGAGTAGAAAATGGTGGTGTTCAAGAAGTGGAGATCCCAGATGATTTGCTCCTTAAAGTAAAAGATAACCACATTGCAGCTATGGTTGAGAGCACATATCCTGACTTCCTTAGTAGATTCAGTGATCCTGAATATCTACAAGAAAGAGCGATCCTTGCACCTACTTTGGACATTGTAAATGACATAAATGACTACATGCTCTCATTGATTCCAGAAGAGGAAGTTACATACTTCAGTTCAGATAGTATAATCCCCTCAGACATAGATCCCTTCCATGCAGATATGTACACAACTGAGTTTCTTAATAGCATATCAATGTCTGGATTGCCTAATCATGTTCTCCATTTAAAAATAGGAGCACCGATAATGCTTTTGAGAAATATTGATCAAGCTGCAGGATTATGCAATGGAACGAGGTTGGTCGTCACCAAACTGGGAAAGCATGTGTTGGAAGCCAAAGTAATAACAGGAAAAGCTATGGGAGATAAGGTTTACATACCGAGAATTCCATTATCACCATCAGATACGACAATGCCATTCAATTTTCAGAGGAAGCAATTCCCTATGATGGTATGCTTTGCGATGACGATAAATAAAAGTCAAGGTCAGACGTTAGCACAAGTCGGTTTATACCTCGAACGACAAGTCTTCACTCATGGTCAGTTATATGTGGCAATATCAAGGGTGAGGAGTAGAGATGGTCTGAAGATACTTATTCGTTCAAAAGAAAAAGGGTTCTCCACAAAGACAGTCAATGTGGTTTATAAAGAGGTTTTTCAAAACCTAACAATGTGATATTTTATGTGTACGGCGTTACACATCTCATGTGTTCCCTACAATGTCAATTTTTATTGCTTCTCTTTAAATTATATACAATTTTTATTGCTTCTATTTTTTCCATGCATCAATAATATATATATATATATATATATATATATATATATATATATATATATATATAATATTATCAAAAGTTCTAACAATCTCAATGAGCACCCGGGGCAACGCCCGGGTAAAACACTAGTTTAAATCTATTACTATGTACATTCTAGGTCTAGACAATGGAAAAATAACTTTGATTTTATGATTAAAGTGATCTAGAAAAAAGTATTGATATATTAAAGTGCAAGAAATGGCAAATCAAAGGAAACAATTTGAAAATAAAAAAAAAAGATATTTTTTGGAAGAAAGTGACTTATATTGATATCACATCATTCAGATATGCAATAAACAAATAAAAGGATCACGCTCAACCGCTAGTGCTCGAAATAGAGTTAGAGTCACTCACTTTCCAGAAAGCAATATGACTCGATGATCCTATAAAGGGCATAAATTAGTCAAAGACGGTCAAAACAGGTCTCTCATCACTCAATTCTAATGCAAGAGTCTCGCAAAACGAGAAATAAAACGTGAAGATAAAAGTAGTCTGATCAAAGTAAAAGACAAGAATGAAAACAATTGTATTAACCTTATGTTGCATCCCCGAGTATCTTTCGTTGTGCTTTCCTTCCAGAAAGCATCTTTAGATCTCCCGGTGGGTCTGGTGTCCAGGACCCGTCTCCTCCCTGTTTTTTGGCTCATCCAAAGCCATGTCATCTTCACTGGTGCCCGTGAGTAGTGTATCGACCACCGGAAACGCAACCCAACACTCGCCTGCTCTCACTTGCAGTCGGCATCCTCTTTGAAAACCAACTCCTCCTCATCCCCACCAATAGCGATGTTATTTTACTTATGTATGTTGTCTTCCATTTGTTCCTACTTGGACTACCCTGCTCGATTGAAGATGAATAACCCTTGGCCACGAACGTTTGCCCGTTGTTGCCTGCATTCCTTGCCTTGCCGCTCTTCGCCGAAGGAGATGAAGCGGAAAACTCAAAACCCTAACCTAGAGGGAGACGCTGCTTTACTCATGGAATTTAATTCAAAGATTGACCAAAATTTATCAAGATAACTTTAAAAACTTGAAAATAAATGAGGATATATAACATTTTATACAATTATTTAAAGATAAAGAGTTTAAAAGACACACATCCACTAATACTTTTTAAATAACTTCTGCATTGTTTAACTACATTGGTCTTATCGGAAAAAGAATTGATTTTTGAATTGCAATTTTTGTCTACCAATGACGGTGTTTGTGAGCCACGAGCAGTTTTCTTAATATTACAATAATATGTATGAGATTATTATTTTTAGAATGTAATTACATTGCTAATTCATATATATGGTGCATATTATATTTGTATCATAAGTTAAACTTTTTTATCTATGCAATAAATTGTTTTTAGCTAGTAAGAAGTAAACGAATTGTGTAATTTAATGTCGATAAGCATTTATATTTTGGATTATGATAAAAAAAATTGTGTAACTAATGTGTGATATTTAGTATCGTTTGATATTTTATAAAATTGAGTATTAACATCAGTAAAAGATAATTAAACATTACAAAACATAATTATCCGCTAAGAATCTCAAGTCTGAAACAATGAACTGTCCTATTATTTATTTTTTAAGTTATGTAAATTATTTTTTATGTTTCTTCTTTTAAATCTCCAATTAAGTATTACGTTATGTAAGGTTATATATTAATTTTTAAAACTAAAAATTAAGGCGGCAAACACATATACATCTAATTAAAGTATAAAAATTTTATGAAAATATTACGTATATAGTGGGAAAATTTTGAAAGTCCAAGGAGGGCGATTGCCCACCACCCTAAATCCATCCCTGCTAGTACATGAAGTATTTAATTAAATTATACTTTTTTATTTTTCTTACCAAAGGTCCAAAACCAATTCCTGCCAAGTGCCAACTGCATACAGCATATATTTTCTACCAGTTCTGCCTTTTCACAGTGATGCACATTTGGGAATCTTGCTTGGGTAGCACCATTAAGGTAGCTGTTATTTCCTTGAATGGTAAAACATTAAAAAGGAGAAGAGAAAGTGTGCTTATCTAAAGCCCGGACCGTTACAGGAAAGTTTATTAAGCTTTATTTATATTCTTTTTTGACAAAAGAACACCTATAGTTATCACTTACACTTGCAAAAAAACTCTCATACAACCCGGAATCCACATGGACATAAATCAAATACATCAGAAAAAATACTAACTACACATCCTGGAAAAGAATGACAGTTCTTTATAGAACAAAAAAGTACTTTCGTTTCACTAATATTTGACCATGTTTCCTAAATATGGACTAGGTTGCATATAGCCTTGGACCGTACACTTCACTAGTTCATTCAGGATGCAATACAGTAGTTTTCTGCTTGGAATTGTACTCCTTAAAAGAAACTTGGGTAGCTTTGCAAAGAAAGATTATTTTTTCAACTCGCAAAACATAAACGCGGTGGCAACTCGGGAGGATCATTGCTTATGAGATTTGCCCAGATGTTTGCAAGTGTGACAAAGTAATGCTCTCCATTCCATAAGACAAGCTTCATTCCTAATTCTGAAAGTTACAAAGTAATAGAGTTGAGAAGAAAGTAACACTAGGTTTCTGCGCGAATTTAGTTAAAAGTTGTGATAGTAAATAGAATAAAAGAACTAGAAAATAGGAAAGATACTGGAAGGATAGAAAAAGTTGGATATAACCTGAAAAAATAATGGTATTTATGTTTTTCTGATACATTTATAGTTGCCAAAAATAATGTGGAGTATATAATACTCTCTTCGTCCCATCTACACTTCATCACTACATGGTCATGACTCGTGAAGTCAAGATAATTACTTTTTGCAATTAAATACAACTCTCGTTGCAGCTCTAAAAATCAAAATTTCAAATACTAATTTTAAAATATTGTCAAGGAGGAATTAACTTTATGATAAACATAACTGGCACAGTCCCCGACTGGCCGGTCCTAAAAAGAATTGGGAGGCCCCCGGCAGTCTCGATCCTGGTCCCGGTCTGATCATGTTCGCACGTCAACGGCGCGGTGCACGTCTGATCATGTTATTTTATACTCCGAATATATTTTTAAACACTCCAAACCCCTCCCCGCCCTTTTCAGCTTTTAAATACACACCACTCTTTTGAAAATGCCTATCAATGGTTCAAAAGCAAAAAAGGGGGGGAAGCGGAACAGGGACCGGATCGGCCAAAGTTTGAGGCCCAGGAACTCTTTCCCGCTGGTCCAGTCTCGGTCTCGGAGCCTTATTTTCCAGTCCCGGTTTTATAACTGGACAATCCCGGGACCGGGTCTACCTCTAAGTATGACAGGGTGTACTCTCATCATCATCATCATCATCATTACCCCAATGCCTCAAAGGATCCCACCTACGGTGGGGTAAGGGGGGGTCAGATGTACGCAATCTTACCCCTGTACTAAAGCACAGAGAGACTGTTTCCGGATGACCCATAGAAATTAAACATATGGGTTCATTTCTTTTCATGTTTGTTCCAATATTAGTTCATCTTTCTCTTTAAGAAAAAGATAGTATGGTTGATACCGTTCCCTCCCCTCACATAAACAAGTTTCAACCACACATTTACTTTGTTGTGGACTTGTTTGGGGGCGGAGGGAGTACATCTTATATATGCCAAAGGGGCAGCCACCATAGAACTCTCCAGAATAAAAAATTGGACTCAGGATTCGCTTACCATGTAACACTTCTGAAGTTAAGAGTGATAGTCCACAAGTAATATCATTTTGACTGAACAGACGCTTTTGAAGAGTGTATGCATCAATATCATGAATAAACTTGATATTGTCAAGACACAGTCCAATGGTGCTGGCAGATTCAAGATCTGATGACAAGATAGCATGCCCAAGTCCTGAACTAGACCATAGAGCATGGCACTCATCTAGAAGAGAACGGATGCCTGTGAAATCAACGGAACTTAACCAAGTCCATGGCTGGTAAAGCTTGACTGAAGCTTCAAGCACTACAGCAACCTTGTAAATCTCAACAAGGCCCAAAATGTATTTCATTCCTGTTATTAGAGAAATGATAATTCCAATAACACACTTAATCAAATATTAAACTAACCAGCACTTGGGTGATTCCGTAATTCTTTAAGATAAAAGTATCCCACTATGTCCAATAAAAAGCTCCTAGTAGTAACTAGGATACAAAAGCTCTTTTTTTTTTCAGTTTTGGCAGGCTTACAAAATTATGTACTCCCTAGTCCCTCCGTATTTAAAAGCTCACTACAATAGGTTTGGGCCCATTAATTAAGGATGAAATAGTAGGAGTAATGAATAGAAAAAGTAGGAGAAAGAGTGAAAAGGTATGAAAGAGAGGATAAAAGGTAAAAAAAAATAAGGGCAATTGAGTATTCTTAAAGGAAAAACTTATCAAAAAGGAAGTGTAGCAAATTTTTAAATACATCCTAAAAAACAAAGTGTGGCAAACTTTAAAATAAGGAGGGGTAATGAATTTAAGAGATTCACCAATACCTCTAGTATTGGAGAATACTTGACTGTGAGCATCGTTATCCAATATCTGCTTCCAAAGATTGGTACCATGCTGCAACTCTCGAGTGCAAACAGATAAAATTGTGTGCCATATTGAAACATAGAACAGCTGGTCCTTGACTGACACCAATGTCAAAAGATTCAGCATTATGCTAGCATGGCTAATAAGCTCAACTGATGAACTAAAATCATTTTCCGTCTGTATTCAGGAAAGAAATGTCAAAAATAAGCCAAGAATCAAATAAACCAAGCCCATACGGCCATACCTATGCAAATACATGTAGCTTGAATTTTTGTGTAGCTCAGCATTGAGTATTTAACTATTTATAGCTGATTCCAAAGAGATATGATAAAGAAAATGCTAGTCTAAGGCAAACCAGTAAACAACTCTTTAAGTGAGAATATGCACAAACTAAGGCAGCTTGAGAATATACACAAAGCCACAAACTAAGGCATCTTATCCTTCATTCCATAGAGACAGAAAACTCACTCCTTGCACATTCCATATTATTATTTTGTTAGATGATTCAGTAACTTAGCTATTGTATAATTGGCTCATGCATATATTATTCTAGAACTTATGTGTTGTTCTGTTGAACTAGAATTTGTTTTTAATTTAATCAGATCAAACCCAACCATATCAGGCCACAACAACATCCCGACCTTAGTCCGAAAAAATTTCGGGGTCAGCTAAAAGATAAGATATGAATCGACACACAAAATCGGAGCTAAAAGAGATTAGAGATAAGAAAAGATAAATAGATAAAGAAAAAAAGATAAGACAAAGATATGATATAGATAAAAATAAGATAAAGATAAAAATGATTAGATGAAAAAGATAAAAAAAAAAATTAAGATTAAAAGGATAAGATAGAAAGCATAAAAAAAAAGATAAAATAAAGAACATAAGAACTCCATCGGTCACAAAAGATATTGAGGTTGAAAAGGATAAAAAGATAAAAAAGATGAAAATAGATTAATCCGCCACACAAATATTATTCCTCCACTTTGTTCTTTCCAAAGTCATACTCTCATCCAACCCATGGAGAAACATCCAATCGGCCATTATGACTCCTCTATTCCACGTCTGTTTAGATCTTCTTTTCCCTCTCCTTTGCACCTCTCTTCCTCGTCCGATAGGTGCATCACTCGGTCTTCTACGCAAATGGCCGAACCACCGCAATTGAGACCCTCACATCTTATCTTCAATAGGTGCTACTTTCACCTTTTGCCTAATTGTCTCATTTTTTAAACGGTCTTTTCTAATATGTCCACACATCTTCTGAATGTGACATGCGCATCTCAGCCCCACTCATCTTCTCACTCATCTTCTGAATGTGACATTGTTTCACTGTTCAACACTCCACACCCTAAGTCTAATTGTTGCTCGTTAAAACATACCCTACAATCTAGTCAGCATACATAGATCACATAGAAATCCTGACACACTCTTGCAATTCATCCACCCTGTTCTGATTCTATGTGATACATCTCCATTTAGTTCACCATCTTCTGGATTATAGAACCCAGGTAGTGGAACATATCGCTAACCTTTATCTCCTTACCATCTAAGGTAATCACACTATTACCAATGCTTTTACCTCCAACAAACTTGCACTCCATATACTCAATCTTCCTCCGACTCAGCCTAAACTCTTGTTCTCCAAAGTTTGTCATCATACTTCCAACTTTGCTTTAACACTCGATGGTGTTTCATAAATCAACACAATAATGTCAGAAAACATCATGCACCATTGGATATCTTCTTAAATTGACTTTGTAAATTCATCCCTGAATATTTCAAATAAGAAAGGACTCAAAGCTGATCCTTGAACACTCCAATAGTAGTAGGGAACTTTGCAATCCTCACTACACTAGTACGAACACTAGTAGTACAACCCTCGTACATATCCATGATGATGATGATATAATTATGTGATGTCTTTTTAGTTTAGGCCCACCAAAGGACTTCTCTAGATACCGCAAGCTCAAATGCGATCAAATCAGATAATTTATTCCAACAAGAAAACTAGATAAGATTAGAAACATTCAAATCACATCACAGAGCAGATCTCCATATCCATTAATTCATATCAGGTCACATTCATTCAGTCAAAAAGGAAGAAGTCCATAGTTATTTTGTTTAATTTTGACTATGGATACTCTCATTACATAAAGCTATCCGTTACGACTTAAATTACTTAATAAAAACAATAGTTTCAGTGTAAAGCTAAGGGACATTTGGGGTATCAAGCAAAACTAAACCTATGAAGTTCAGAATCTCAACAAATCCCAACACAACATACTCATACATGTCCGATCTGACCCCTTCGCAATTAAGCACATAACATTTTCAGCTCACAACCTTTGGGTTATGCTGCTGGCGTCATGAACAAGTCATTTGCAAATAAACACAAATTAAAACATTATCTGCAACAGTACAAGACTTGGAGCAGTTAAAGAATAGTAAAATAGTTATAAATTATAATGGTATGGTATGGTAGTAGGACTCCTAAGGGACTAGGCCATTACAGTATCACACTTAATGGCCGACTATTTTCATCTATAAGCAGTGTATTGATCTTCAGATATCGAACCCTAAACACAGAAATTTTGAGTAAAAACCCAAGTGCAGTAAACAGCAAGTGTACCACACTTTCCACTCAATTCAAAGCATCTCTGATATATTTCATGAAACCTATCGGAGTAAAAAATGACAGAACACTGGAAAAAATCACAATCGTCCAACACTGTCCTTTGCCCATGTGCAATGTGTGAACAATTAAAGGAAAATTTCATCTTTGTCTACCCTATAACTTTAATTGTTGTACGCATTTATTTTGAATGTGGTATTCCGCCTGCTACTTCACAACCGTGGAAAGGAAATAAAATAACACGGTTGTATGTTTTCATCTCACAAAAAAATCAACGAAGGAGACTCAAAAGGCAACAAAGAAGAAAAAGAAGAAAAGGGATGTGAAATCTTAGGGCTCAAGTAAAAGAGGTAAAATAGATCTAGATTTAAAAAACAAAAAGATAAAAGGAAACACAAAGGTAGTGGTAGGCTGGTAGCAGTGGGGATTTTCACGCTTAAAAAGGCTTACTTATGGGGATATTTGGGATGTCTTCTGCTTCTGATTCTTTGAAAAAGCAGAAGAAAAAACAGTTTCCAGAAAATAGGACCCTCTAGCTTCTCCAAAACTGAACCTCAAGAAGTGCTTCAAATTTATATCCAAACAGGTGATTTAGCTTATTTAGCTTGCAGCTTCAACACCATGGTTTTGTCCCTCTAATTGCTTAAAATGCTGTTTGCGGTCTCTTATCGCCTTTCCGTCCACCATTCCATGGTTTCACTCGTCTCCAAATATCTTCTTCTTCATCAAGCGTCAAGTGACATCAAGTTCAGGTTGAAGTGAAAGTAAATGTTTTCCTTTAAAGCTAAAGAGCAAAGTTGAAGTTTCAAGACAAGTACAAGTTATGAACATGTCCACTTGCTTCAGTTTTTCTCTAAACACATTGGGAAGACATGGTGCTTCAACTTGAGGAGGGAGCTGAATTGATTCAGAAGTATGTGAAGGGTTGAGTCCTTTAGCATACCTAAGTATGAGAGGAGGTAGTATTTTTCATGTTGATGGTGTCTACGGTATACCATACCCATGCCTAGAAGTATACAAGTGCAATGTGTCTTTGGTGAATGATGTGTGTAGTAAGATAAAAATTGTGAAATAAATTTCTGTTATTCAACATAACGATAAAAAATCAGACAACATACTTGTGAGAGCCTTCTTGAAATGTTATATTCTGATTCTAGCACTTGAAATTTTGGTTTCTTAAGAACCTCAATGAACTCATGAAAACAAGTCTCCCAGGACGGATGCACTGTTAAATAATCTCCTTCACGTATAGAATATTCATAGTCTAATTCCTTGTGAGCGCCCTACACAATGATTAAAAAAAATATTGACAGAGATACAAATATAGGGTTGCTAGTTGCCACCCTTTCTATATAGATGGATTCGTAGCATTGCATCAGATAATACGGAGTACAATTTATAAGAATGTTCTGACAAAAGTCATAGAACAACCCTTATTGATTTTATTGCCTTTATAACTATAAAACAATATTTGATATCACCGATCCCCATATACAAGGAACAATACATGTAGCATGTGAGAACCACAAGATAACTAATGCTTAGTGGAGAAAGGTATAATTTTATAAAGCAACTATTTAACTAGAATGCTTTCTCCAGGGTTATATAAGATGCACTAAATTAGACACCCATAGTCCCATACAGAACCACGTTGATGAGATTTATACATATACAAACCTTAAGATTCGGCAGGTTATGTTTGCTGTGAAGGCATAACTCCTTCTTTAATTCTGAATAGAAGTCAACATAACTATCCAGCTTTCTTATGGTCAAACTGCTTGGAAGTGGTTCTCCATGATCCAAACTGCATGTCTCACTTTCTGCTCTTCTTTGAGTTATGGCACCTTTAGGCTCCCACGGTTCATCACCCAGTACGTCTTCACCATTCACCAAATTAGAGACGTCACCCAAATAAGGGGATTCTACAACATTAGAAAGATTTTCCAAGGAGTTGACAGAAGAGGTGTGCTCTACTTGGTTGTAGAAACTTGGTATAATATCGTTGATTGAAATGGCGGGTTCTGGTTTTTTAGCAATTTGATGACACGTAAAGCTATCATTGATGGGAGAAGAGACATCAACGTCCAGCTCTTCAATGCCAGGTACAGAGAAAGGCAGGGCTCCTTCAAAAATAGACCCTGACATGTTCACCTGAAGCAGGACCAATCACACATCATAGTAGAAAAACATGGCTAAATTAAGTTTTTAAGCATATAAAAATGTTAGATCTAACATTTAACACTCATAATTGGACTTGTAAAAAAATTTAAAACCTAAAATGGGCTTCGAGGCATTTTGCTCACCACAACACATAAGCCTCATTCTTAAAATACAACACTTGTAAGAGATCATATAAGTCTGTTCAAATGATAAAAATGAAAATTCTTGAATAAATATGAGTTCATAGTTCAAAAACAAGAACCGGAGTTCCATGAAAGAAGTTCAAAAATCATAACAATGACCAATTATACAAGTCAACTCTTCTACACATATACAAGGGTGAGAAGGCAAAAGTAGACTACAGATTGAACATTTGAACTTCGTTGCGATCTTTGGAAGCTTCAATCGAGTAGAAAAGAAAGCGATAAAAAAGAATTGTAGAAAAGAAAGCAGACCGAGAAAAGAAATAAAGAAAGCAATGGACTAGATAACAAACATTTAAAGCTCTAGAATTTTAGTTGGTTGATTTCATTTCATCTACTACAAGGATCCTAAAAAATCATGAAAACGGGTTCTCATTGAGTCAAACTACATAAAAATTGCTAAATCTTGCATGTAAAATGTCCATTATGATACCTCTAGCGGTGATGCACTATCTGACAATGCAGATGTAAATTCTCCAAACTCATCATCATTACTATCTCTTCTTTCAGATGTCAAAGAGAAATCTGAAACAAAGTTGTTTTGAGCACAAGCACTCGACTTAGTACTGCTATCAACATTATATTCATGCATAATGCTAGTTAATGCATTTGTAGTTGTAAACAAATTGGCCGATGCGTCTGATGCAGTAAGTAAACCGATCGAGGAACTAGCACCCCCGGAATACCAGGACAAATTGACCTTCAAATCACCAGCATCATGTTCCTCCGGTTTAGCTTTTACGGACCCATTTGTCATGAGAAAACCATTAGAAAATTTCGATGATAATGGCAGCATGTCACCAGTATCTTGCAGCACGATGTCCGTTCTATTGGACAAAGAAAATAGGTCAGCTGAATGGTTTGAAACACTCTCAAGCCCATACGAGTATGGAACGATGGTGCCAGTATCATGTCCCTTTATGTCTGTTTGAAGCACTCCATTTGAACATGTATCAGTCCCGTTAGAATATGTATTCATGTCACCCATATAGTGTGTGAGAGAATCAGCTTCTGCCGAACTATTTGGCACCGGAAACAAATCAAGTGGTGTGTTTAAACCATTGTTAAAGCAAACAGGTAATGTGTTTGTCCCATATATTTCTTGTGCTTCTGAGCCAGCCTTCAATGAACAAGAAACTGTATTTAGTGAACACCAGCGATGTGTTAAGAATTTCACCAAAAAACAAAAAAACACTCATTATTTCAGAGCATTGCACCACAAGAAGACTAATGAACTTGGAATTGAACGGAAATTAAGCACTCCATAGTTGGTAAAATGTAGGTTTAAAAAAATGAACGAACATACATCTAACAATTCTTATCTTACAACCGGGATGTGCTTTCAAGCCATAAATATATATATATGGAGAACCAAAGGATTAGCTCTAACCCCAGGAATTGAACAGAAATTAAGCACTCCATAGTTGGTAAAATGTAGGTTTAAAAAAATGAACGAACACACATCGAACAATTCTTATCTTACAACCGGGATGTGCTTTCAAGCCATAAATATATATATGGAGAACCAAAGGATTAGCTCTAACCCCAGGTATTCAAAACTTCCTTCATAGCTGAAATTTTGTAAGTTGAAAAAAGGTAATTTACAACCTACTTTCTTCGACAATGATTTAGCATGCCAAAAGAGTAACTATGGAGAGATCTACCCTAGATCTTTTAACTAACTCATCAAATATTGGCTTCAAAAACTTCCACGCAAATAAACTGACCGAACCTAATTACCAAACATTTCGCCCACATACTCCCAAGTACTGGTCCTGCCACATCTTGTAGTGCTAATGATTAAAACAATGTGAAACCACATATACTGAAACCCAAAGTGAAATTCCAAATAAGAAGTGTAATGTTTTTTCCCCATAAATAGGAGTAATTACCAACATGCAATGCCAAAATATGTCATTATTGTTTTAGTATGCCAAAAATGACTCCTATTTAGGGAACAGATATTAATCCTATTTTGAAATTTCACATTGTTTTTACTCTTACTTCAGGAAATTTCCCTAATAATAATGATAATGTACTTATAAACATACATACACACATATTGGTGGTGGTGGATCACAGCGCAAATATGAAATAGGATTACTTTTACATGTAAATGCTCTACGACTCTACGTTGCACATGACTAAAACTCAAAGCATTGTACCATTGTTGCCTTTGTTGTTGTTTGAATGTTTGATAGTATCTGAAACGAGTATATCGCTACTCTTCATTGTCATCCAAAGAATATTTGAAATGAATCAAGCTAGATATTCTCGCTTGAATACTTATAGTTCTAGTCTTTTATAAGAATTTGAATCACGGACCATATATAATATATTGTATTCTTATTTTAACTTAATAAAATGCAGATATTCCAATAATAATTAGAATCATAACCCAACCTAATACACGCACACAACCAACGGATGTAATAAGAGACCTTAATGTGTATAAGTTGTACTTTTAGAAGTGTGTTTCAGAAACAAGTCAAACAACAGCTACAATCCACTCAAGCCTAATACAAAGATCAATAGAAGTATGGAACTGACATAAGACATGAATTCACATAGCAGAGCAGAATCATTATAAATTAAGTTTCAATCTCACACCTTATTTTTTGTACCCATTTCCGTTCCTTCAGTACATGCTTCCTTGAACTCCCATCCATCATCATCATCATCATCATCATAACAATCATTATTAGTGTTTTTAGCATCTGACTTTTCACAAGCAACTGTGGTATCTGAATTTGAGTTCAGCCTACTAAAACTTGAATTCAATGTTTTAGGGGATGATCCAAAGCCACCAAAGTCAGGTCCCCAGACACCGTAACTTGGTGCATTTGTGTCTGAGCTGCAAACATCTATCTTCAGGCCATGCACTCCATCCACACTATTTATCCTCTCACTCAATTCTATTACATTGACACTCATATTTGATTGAAACCCTGTCTGTTCTGAACAAAATTTATTCAAATCCCTACCGCTTTCAGTAGAAATCGATCCAACTGATAGGGAATTTGATTCGGACCTAGCTGAGTTCCAATCCAAATTATGAACTGGAGTTGAGTCTTCCTCCCGGGCAGACGAACCCCCAGTCAAATCCAACTTGCTTGAGTCCAAATTAAAGATCGGATTACCAGATACGCTAGCATTTGAAGCAGGATTTCCAGATTGAAACTTCGGACTGTGATTGTATAAGTCTGCGAGAATATCGTTCAGTCCAATGCTGGAACCAGTGTTAGATCCATTGCTCAGTTTATTAGTGTCCTCCTTGGCAAATTGAGTTTCAATAAGCGCAGATTCCACTCCCATAACATGTTTCTCATCGTCCTCTTCTTCTCCGAACAATGAAAGAGGCAAAGCGCCTGTGGGCTTCACCCACTGAGGAGTCTCAGGCGACTTAATTTGGCTCGTCACCTGTTCACGCAACCGAGTTGATGGCGTCGGATGCTGAAATCCGTGAGTGGAGAAGACGGCAAAGGGGTCGGGTTGAGAGGGTCCTTCTGAGAGATTCGATCCTTGTGACCCATCCACAAAATGTCCCCACTCATCACCCTCCAAATTGTTATCAGCATCAATGGCGGTTAGCGGTGGGTTTGGGGCATTTGTTTGGGCATCGACGGTGGGTTTGGGAGGATAAGGAGCGAATGAGAAGTCTCCGAAGCTCTCATCGTCGTCTTCCGCCATGACCTCCGATGGTAGGCTCAAAATAGCCTTCAGATTCGCTCCTCCCTCTCTCCACCGTACTTCGTTCGTGGATCAAATAATAAAACATTATTAGGATAAACTTTCGAAATAGCCTGCATCGGTTGGGTTCTTTTCCTCTGGAAAAAACTCCCACTCCACTGGAAGAAAGTACGGAGAGAAGAATCCGACCGACCATATCACTTCGATCGGATTTCATATTTCTATATCATACGGGTCGGTTCAATATTCTAGAATTGGACATTTCCATTCGGGTTTTATCAATTTCAATTGGGTGTAAAACGGGTGTGGCGAAAATTAAAGGAAAACGGGCAAATAATGTCACGTACTAATAAAAAAAAGGGCAAATAAGGTCTTATTTATGAGACTCTGTCCGATCTTCGCCATTTGGGGTGGTTCTTGGTAGAATTTTTTGGTGAAATTTTTTTGAACATCTTATTCATTAAGTCTAGTTTACTCATACCAAATTTCAACTAACAATTCAATCGGGAAGGCGTTCAAATGAATTGTTGAAGATAATTGCGCTTTTAACTGCACAGTTATCTTCAAGAATTCATTTGAATGCCTTCCCGATTGAAGTTTTAGCTGAAATTTGGTATGACTAAACTAGACTTACTGAATAAGATGCTCAAAAAATTTCATTAAAAAATTCTACCAAGAATCACCCCAAATGGCAAAGGCCGGACAAAGCCTCGTAAATAGGACCTTATTTGACCTTTTTTTTGTTAGTATGTTGTCTTATTTGCCCCTTTTCTCAAAGGGAAAATGGAAACTAATAATCCAACCTTTTAGCGGTTTTCTTACAATAATCCAACCTTTTGGTTATTCATGAATAATCCAACCTTTGCACCTCATCTTCATTCACTGGTCCCTGATCGGTTGATGACATGCTCTTCCAAGCTATTTTCTTATCTTTGCAAAATATTATCTTTGTGAAAGATAAAATTTATGGTATAATGATTTGCAAAGATAAGAAAATAGCTTGGAATAGCAGGTCATCAACCGGTCAAGGACCAGTGAATGAAGATGTGGTGCAAAGGTTGGATTATTCATGAATAATCAAAAGGTGGGATTATTAAAAGAAGACCGCTAAAAGGTTGGATTATTAGTTTCCATTTTCCCTTTCTCAAATTAAAACTACATCAGTCTCACTAACATTATAATGAAAGGAAGTGCACGATTATTAAGAAAGTGTGGTTTATGTGATTGAAATTGAATTGATAAAGTGGAATAAAGTAAAAATCATTTAGAGTTACACAAACTTTACAAAATCTGGTATGGGACAATTTTAGTGGGATTTCCCGAAGAGGTAAAATGAGACAATCTTAGCGCGATTGAGGGAATACTAAACAAAAATCATCCCCCATCTGTCTCGAAATGAAGTTACCGGTTTGACTTACACATATATTTATGTAAGGTAAAGTTTTGTTTTGACTTTCTATATAAACCCTTACTTTACGTCAAATCAAGCAAAAGATGAATAAAAAGTGAGATAATTGTGTCTTTTTGGTTAAAAATGATTTCCTTTAATAGAAAAGAGAAGTTCTTTACTTCTTTTGGGGACATCCATAAAAGGAAAGTATAACTTCTCTTCAGGATGGAGTTATTTTTAGGGTTGGTTGATTCAATTTAGTTCTACTTTGATTCGGTTTGGATTTGTTATTGAATTTCTTTAGTTTGATTAGATTTTATTATGACTTTATCGAGGGGTTTTTACTTGAATATTACTAATTTTGAACCAATTACCAAAAAATGTGACCACTTTTAAAAAGGGACAAAAAAGTGATGAAGAAAGTCATATTAATGTTACTAGTTTTTTCACCCGTGCGTTGCACGGGATGAAAAGTTATTTTATTTTACAGTAATTTAGTTATTTTCCTAAATGAATCCACAACATTTGACTTTGAATTTGAATTAAAAAATCTCAATTTTATTTGAGAAAAAACATAACATTACAAATTAGTAAAGACCTTTTTGTACACCGAATTTAATGTGGAGTTTGTTGTTTTTCCATTATCGCATATACGAAATTTTAAACCAGTTGAACTTGGGTCTCTACATACATATATCGACGTAAACCTTCACATGGGTGAAAACTGAAAACCGGTCGTCTTAAGAATAATCCACATTTTTCACCGACTTGTTTTGACTCTTATTGATGATCGTCATCGCATAGCTAACTATTAGAGGAAAATAGAAATTGCATGTGTTGCATGGGCTTACCTGATTAAATAATATTTTAAATTTTTAAAAGTTAAATGCACATCTTCAAACCTATTTTTTATTTTTTTTGAAAAAATCTTCACTCCTATTAAAACTTGAATGTTTTAGTCCTGAAAATGTGCCACCTTAAAATATTTTAAAAATAATTACTCCATCCGTCCCTTAAAGCATTGACATCTTTCCTTTTTAGGACATCCCAAAAAACTTTGTTACTTTCCCTTTAAATCAATTATTTCGTGTTTCCTATTATTTCTCTCTCCTCTACACAAACCTCAACCACACAATTTTTACTTTATTATTCTCTGTGTCAGTCAAACATGACAAAGTTTTAAGGGACGTAGGTAGTATGTTGGAAGTAAACTTTGTAACACATAGAAATGATTTGATTTATAAACCTCCATATGTATAATTAAATATTTTTTTATGTGTTTATTTATTTATTTAGGTATTTATTTATGCATTTATTTATTTTACACCTATCGAATCACGGGTTGGTTTGATATGTTGAAATCTAGTGTAGCCGATCCAATATAAAATATCTCAGAACATAAATTTGGTACAACCAATAAACAGAGCAAAAGGCATTTACTATGTAGTTCATCAAAAGAAACATTGCTGACGGTTTTATGAGGTCAGCATCTCGATGCACATAAACTTAGTGCTGGACTCGGGCCGGGCGGCCCGAACCGGAACCGGCCCGGCCCGGTTACTGTGTGAACCGGCCCGGCCCGGTGGCCCGGTCCACCAGCGGTTCGGGTCGAACCGGCCCGGTGGATACCGGTTCCGGGCCCGGGCCCTCCATTTTGTGAACCGGCCCGGCCGGTTCGGGCCCGGTCCGGGCCGGAATAATTTTTTTTAATTTTTTTTTTGAAATTTTTTTAATTTTTGGGTTGGATTAGGTATTTTGGGCCATTTGAGGTGGTTTGGGGTTGAAGGGGAGGGGTAGGGGGTTAAATAAGAGAATGCTAGTGAGATCGACCAACTCCAAAACACTACCATTGATAGCTAATCTAATGTGCTATATTGCATATATTGAAGTAATAGTTCAGCATTTTTATTACTAAATACACTGTTCAAAGCATGCAATGGAAATAACAGAAGTATACCTCTTACAGTTGGTCTATATCTCCTTCCAAATCGTAATTATGTCAAATGGTTAATAGAACCTCTACTTCAATGCCTTTTGAGTACTTCAATCAAAGTAATCAATTTTCGTCTTCAAATGTTAGGTACTTAGTACTTTTCAGTCATCATACGAAGCTAATGAATCATTTTGTAAGTGGGTGAACAAAAATGGAGGGATGGATTTTACATGACGGTTTATGGCAACGGATGGAAGTAGACGGGCAGTACCAAATAGCAATGTATTGTGGGGCTGGCCTCTCTATTCAGGTTTGATGGAATAGCAAATCTCATAACTTTTTCTTTAAATCGGATTGAATAGATGAGAAATCAAGAAAATAGATTATAAAAACGCAGCTTATAAGACAAAATTATGAATGAAAAAAATTCAGAACTCTTTTTTTTTTTTATTTTTTTTTATTTTCTGGTTTTATTTTAAAACTTTCTATTTTCTGTAAATCTGTGTTCAAATATATAGAAACCTTCTTGAAAGTATTTGATTTTTTGTCTTAAGAACCCTTATGTGAATCTACACTTCCCTTTTTAATCCATGATACAAACTTAATTTTATAACCAACAACAAACCCATGTTCTGAACTTGGATTAATAACCAACAACTAATCATTGGTTCTATAACTACTTGGTTTTAACAAATTAATTTCAGGTTGATTTTCATTCAGAAAAGTGATGGGGGAGATTGTTTGACAGGACTCAGGATTGTCTTAGCAGTGCCATTGAAGAAAATAACACGAAAAAAAGGCACTAATATACATAGTATGTTTGAAAACATTCAAACTTGGGAGTATCATCACCATTCCAATTTAAACTCTCAACCTATTGATAGGTGAAATTTAGTCTTTATTCTTGAATAATAACCATAAATTGAACTACCAAAGTGATTTTTAGTATGAAATTTGAAAAGTAAATTGTGTGCTTTATCATATAAATTCGGGAATAGGTTGTTTGTCAGGACTCAGGAGAGTTATCATATAAATAGGGATATCATTAATTAAATGATAGGGACCACAATGAAAATAAAGATTCCTATTACTTTGAAGAGATAGAAGAGTTATAATAATTGTCTAATGTAAGGTGGCAGAAGTAGAGCCTTTTCCACAGAAAGGTTAAAGGGGAAAAGCAAAAACAATTAAATAGCAAACTCAGCGAGCCAAAATCTGCAGGCTAATGATTATTGAGAAAAAAAACTGTTTATCAACACACATTGGCTGGAAATAAATGATTATACACACACAAACATATAATCAAATCCAGGATGTTTAACAAGATGCTCAAGCAAATCCAGGATTAAATGGAAATAAGAGCCATTAAGCCTGTAGATTTTGGCTCGCTGAGTTTGCTGTCAAGAAATAAGAAAGCTATAACTGAAGCAATAGGTGGTAACATTGGAGCACGAAATAAATATGAAAATGAAAACTAAAACGGAACAATTGGTTGACTATATTGCAAGTATGAACTATGAGCATCATTATTCAAAGTAAGCCGCAGATCTTCAGATGATACATTAATAAATTAGCATTTTATGAACTATGAGCATCATTATTCAAAGAAAGCCACTGATCTTCATATGATAAATCAATAAATTATCATTGTGAAGATATGCCTAGTATACATATCATACCTGAGAGGCGCCTAGAATTGGAGTGCACCTCGCAAGTGAGTGAAAACCTGAAAATATTGAAATACTCATATGAAGTTATAATGACATAGTTGTTGGTCTCAACTCTGACCAAAATGGGTCTTCAACTAAAATGCCTTTAACTAATTAGAAATTGAAAAAATTCCTAATTTATATGGATACCAATTTTAATGAAATTAACTGGTGGAGATCAATATACTTGAATGGAAGACCTAACTTTAGAACCATAAGCCCCTAATTTATAAGACTACCAAATCAAAGCTTTTTTGTATTAATTTTTAAGTGTTCTACATTTAGATCCTATTATATATAGGCTTGCATCTAGGAAGACAGAAAGGGGTGCTACTAAGGTATTCTTTTAAGGTATTGTTCATGCACTGATTTTCTTATACACAAGAATTTTCACCTCAACGTCTTACTTCATGAAACAAAAAAAAGTTAAAAAGAAGATTATAAATTTATAATATGAGTGCAGTGAATACTGGCTAATTTTAAGACAATTAAAAGATATGAAACAAACCTTAATCAGCTCATCCTATTATTTGGGAATAGCATCCGTTGAGGAGTGTAATCATTAATCGAATGCTAAATAGGGATGGAATTATCATTGGCAAAATTCAGAACTCTTTTTTTGGTTTTTTTTTTTATTTTCTGGTTTTATTTTAAAACTTTCTATTTTCTGTAAATCTGTGTTCAAATATGTAGAAAACTTCTTGAAAGTATTTGATTTTTTGTCTTAAGAACCCTTATGTGAATCTGCACTTCCCTTTTTAATCCATGATACAAACTTAATTTTATAAGCAACAACAAACCCATGTTCTGAACTTGGATTAATAACCAACAACAAATCATTGGTTCTATAACTACTTGGTTTTAACAGATTAATTTTAGGTTGATTTTCACTCAGAAAAGTGATGGGGGAGATTCTGATTTTTAGCAGATTAACTTTACACTTTTTAAGGTTATTTACATGGTATAATAAATTCAATTTCCCTGCGCTAGTGCGCTTGCATTTGAAAATAAATAATCAAATGGTTTAAATTATTTGATGTCCTTGAATATGTATGTTAATCATTTGTTAATAATCATATCCCGAATTTCATTTAAAAGAACATCAATCCAGATTTTTAGTTGCCAACTAAAAATGTTCAATTTCTGGAGTATGAACCATATTCAAAGGAAAAAGCTTAAGAAAGGAGAACCCAAACAAACTCTACCCTAAACCATGGAAAATCAATTATTGAATATAGTATATCAATCATGTAAGGGAACCAGCTTAATTAAGGCTTCTAAAACTATGAAGCTGATTTTGGATATGTAATTATAGCAGACACATGGTCCCTATTAAGACTTCAGGCACTGAAAACTACAAAAGGTAACCACTAAAGAGCTCGAAGGGAATCAAATAACCATCAACTAAGATTCCGATTGAACCTTAAAATGAGAAGATAGTGCTCAGTTTTGAATCAAATATAAATTTGTATGAACTAAATAGAGAAGAGAACCTGGTTGCTAGCATGACAATCGATGCAAGAAGACCACTTGAAAGTGCAGCAGAACTTATTTCTTCGAGTATGTGGGCGTGCGGATGGAAGAAGCCAAGAAGGTCAATGTGCCGGTGAAGAGGGTTACCGAGGTGTGGGGTGTGCGGCCTTGATGGCTTCAAAGGGAGGCGTGAGGTGATTTCAAAAACTGAAGAGAATGGGGAAATCCTAAAGAAGGGATTGGGGAGAAATGTGGGAGAAGCTCAGAAAGCCAGAAGTCGGCTGCAGGGAAAGTGAAATCGGAAAGAGAAAGGTAGGCTTAAAAGAAAAAGAAAGGTAGGCTTAAAAGAAAAAGAAAGGTAGGCTTAAAAGAAAAAAGGAAGAAATAAAATAAACGGCCCTGATGTATTCTAAACTAACGGTTCTGATGGATTTGTATCGCTATTAAGTATAAGGATTCCCAGATTTTAATGTCACTATCCTGTTTTAATGTCACTATTAAATGTCACTGCCGCCATCACCCGTGTCACTGCCGCTATCGCCAGTGTCACTGCGGCCACCGCCCGTGTCACTGCGGCCACCGCCCGTGTCACTGCGGCCACCGCCCGTGTCGCTGCGACCAGGCCGACCACCGCCCGTGTCACTGCGGCCACCACCCGTGTCACTGTGGCCACCACTCGTGTCACTGCGGCCACCGCCCGTGTCACTTTTATATGACACTATTGGTGTTCAGGTCACTCTCAGATGTCACTATCGTCGTAAAATGCGTCACTATGAGCAACGGAAATTTTTCCGGTGACCTCCATGGCTGACTAGTGAACATCCTCCACTGCAGCCTGCCACGCACCCGGCAATACCATCCCACCATAACCTTTAGACAATCCATTGCCCTGTCCCTCCCGACCCCATGCTGGCCAACCCCAATAACCACCATCCAGCCCAATTATCGTCGTCGCCGCCGCTGGTGTCGGCGCCGACGACGCCTTGCACCCTTCCCTGCCATAACCCCCAACCCCATCACCCTTCCCAGTGGCCATCCACCTCTTCAGCCCACCTTCCCGACCCAAGCCTCTTCCCCAACCACCGCACCACCACATGCAACCCCTAACCGTCCAGATTCAACCGCGCCGCCACTCCCCTGCCACCTTACCATCGCCAGGCCACCTCCAAACCAGATCTCAAATTAATGCCTCACCCCACCTTCAGCCACCAACACCGTCCATCATCTGCAAACCTACCCCTGATCCTCGCCCATCCCCAACACTGGGCCTGTCCCTGTCCTAGGACCTCCGAAGCTCAAATCGCCACATAACGTTCGGAATCAGCTGCTCCATTCGCGATTTTGTCACAGAGAAAGAGAAGAAAGAATGGCGATGAAGTGCAGAAAGATATTCACAGATAGATCTGGCTTGCTTTTGTCCAATGGAAGTTGATGCGTGCGAATGAGATGGAAAGCTGCTGCGCGTCAAATAAGAAAAGCGTAGAGGAGATCACTTTTTTGGCAAAATCAATTTCACTCATATTCTTGACTAACGAAAGTTAGGTAGTAATAATCATGCCATTCTTTCTTTTATCGATTTCGGTTCAGATCGATTTAATACGGTTTAGAAGAAATCTAAACTCAAACCAAATTACACATGAATATATTTTGGTTCGATTTAGTTCAATTTGGTACAATTAGACTCAATTAAACCGAACCAATATCCTACAATATTTTATAGAGCTGACTAAATGAACATGTAAGAAAATGCTCGAACACAAATAAATTTACAGAAAAGCTTAAAACAAAATGATGTGGGTATTGCAACCATCTTTAATGTAAAAGTGATGTAATAAGTTAAGTAATACGTAATCTTGTCATATTTTGTAAGAATTTTTAGGATAGCTTATATTTCTAGCAAACAAGTAGGCACCTAATAAAAAAGTAGGTATAATCGTCGGGGCAAATTTATATACGCAGTATTTGTTATTCTTTGAAAATTAAATAAATGTTGAAATATAATTGAATTAGTCATCTTCCAACTATTCCTGATTAGGAATTATTATCACCATTACATAAATAATCAGGAAATCATAATTATGATTCTAGATGATAATTGTGTGGTTCACAATTATCCTCTAATCCTATGAAGCTTAACTTTTCTCCTATAAATAGGAGGCTTCTCCATTGTAATTAACACACTAAGATTACACCATTATCACACTTCTAATAACATCTTTCTCACTAAGTATTCAGACTATACTTTCTCTCCCTGATCTTCTGCTTATTTCCTTCCATTTTATAACACGTTATCAGCACGAATTTGCTCCACATCCCCGAAATCATCATCTTCCCAGCAGGTATATATTTTCAGGAATTTATCAATTCATCTGAAAAGAAAATAAGAGGTTGAGAAGTATGAACATGTTTGAATATATTCAAAAGTATAAGAAGTATGCTCTATGGTTGCCCAAGAATTGGGATCCTCCGTATCAGAAAATTATAGCTATATTTTATGTAAAAGAAGTTGAAGTAGATTAAAGAAAGTCATACCTTTACAAACCATGACTTCTGCTTTATAATAAACATTATGTCGGCAAAAATTTTATTTGTTCATGGAGCTTCGATAAAACTATGGACGTAAATCTTCCACCATACTTCTTCATGAATCATGATACCTTTCTGGAACTAGTAAATCAGCTAATCAGCTTGAACATGCATATCAATATTGTACAGTATCTATATATACTAATAGATTAAAATAAAAGGAAGAATTAATACTTTGAAAGTTCGTAGATAACAGATCGAAACAGAAAGAAAGATGGCTAGTAAAGTGAAGAATGAAAAATAATGCTCCATAGTTATTATACGTCTGAGCTTCATATACACAAAGTCACGAGTCTGAATAGTACTGCATATTAAACATAATTTTTTTTTGTTCTCATGTGTAGTACAATGCATATATAATGTATGACAACATCACATGGGCATTAACTTACATGGCCGTTATATCTTTTAATGCATACCGTACCATATATGGAGTACATACGGTGTACAATTCTAAAATTTATTATTGCTATTATAAATTGCATTCATATAATTATACGATAGTATAAACTACAGTAGTACGTATTCATTACTAATATAACTCCTCAACCCTGTAAATAAATACGGAGTATTACGTAAACTATACTATGTAAGTTATGCATCTCAACTCCATACAATGTGTGTATACATATTAAGTCAGTGATGATACTCCAGAATAATCGATTGAATATTATGGGTAAACACTAAAAATAAAATACTATGGAGAGATATAAAGAATATGGATATATGCCTTAGAAACTGAAACTCTTAACTTTCATTTGAACTATGAGCAATTCAAACTGAAAGAACACTGAAAGAAAATCTATGTAAAAGTGACGGACTAATATGCTTTCACAAGAACTTGTTCCGATCCAAATATATATTTTTGGCTTTACTTCACGTGAGCTTGCTCCCTCACGGCCTCATCACTGCTTTGAAGTCTAAATATTTTAAAGGTTTCAAAAGACAATGAATTTAATACTATTTGTTGTACACTACTGAAACTGAACAATAATGCAGTCCTGATGCTTCACGTGATTTCTTTTAGAATTACTACTCTGTTATGTTAACAAAATCTCTGTGAATGAGCAACAAGATTTTTGTTACTATTACTCTGTTATGGACTTATCTAAATAGATAAAGGCAAATCACGTACTATAAAAAAAAATTGACTATACACGTATCAATCTATAGAATACTAGTAATATATGTATGCTCGATCAAGCTATAAATTGAGTCCATTAAGTAGGTAAATTAAATCCATCACAGTTTACGAACACAATTTTATATTGCTTGAAATCCTATTAACGTGACAATTTTCCCCATAAGGGAGTAAATGCAAGGATAAATTGGTGGTCATACAGAAGAGAAGTCGGTACATATATAGTCATAAACCATCTCATCACAAATATTTGTTTATAATAAATAAATGATAAATTCAGGATTTTTCCCTTGCTAGTCAATACTAGTCATATCATTGAGCTATTTATATTTCATATATTATACGAGTATATATATGTATATTGAACTGTGACAATTTTCCGCTACTTGAGTACTAATATAGTAATATACGTACATACATGTATTACTCCGTAGTACTAGTATTTATTAATGAAATAGATTTAATACTGAGCATAGATTACTACATCTACTCATTAAGAAAAGTGATTTTGGATTTGTCTTGACATTATTGATGCTAATCAAGGGGACTGTAATAGTACGTTTCAAGAAAGAAAATACAGCTCACACATTTTATCTGTATTTTTTTTTCTTCAATAATAGTCACAGACTCTCAAAGACTCAAAGTATCAAAGTATGAACTGTGGCTCAATACCAGTCCTAAAATGCAATTGACAATTTGACAAATGACCGACACTATAAATCGGAAAGGGATATGATGATCCTTTGTAGCGACTGTTATCTCACAAATAAATAATAGAAAAACAAATGAAAATGGACTGTTGTGTTGTACGGAGTATTTTTTTAAATCCAAGACATCAGTCTATCCATGAGCCATGAAGTTACTAAACTATAAAATAACCTTTTATTAGGGTTTTTCATCAAAACAATCTTTCAACCAAAAACTATCAACATAAGTTTTGTACTTTAACGACCTGTTGAGGTTTATTCCTTCAACCCTTGGACCCAACACGTAAGCCCAAAGATTTCGAGTGGAGTGAGTGTATGAATGTCTAGCCCAACAACTATCAGATGGATCAGGAGACAAAAGTAATAGCAGGCAATGTAAATAGGTATTATTAACTCCGTAATAACTCCCCTAAGTACAATCTACTTGCTAAAAAAGGCACGTCGGCCGTTCGTCTTACAAGGCACTTAGAAATGTCGCTAGTAAGAATGCTGAAGCTAGTATGCTAAGAATAGAAAGTTGCCAACCCTTTACAATGAAATAAATGCTTCTATTTATACCCGCCAATGGGCAGGTAGCTGTACTGACGTGGCAGCCTGTGGACCGCTGGTGTCCCAACTACCAAATCTTCAGCATTAAATGCACTTCCCGCCAGAATCTAGGCTTCCCGCCGGATTAGTGGGGACGTTCGTCCACCCGGGAAGTGAGTTGGATTGCTCCAAGTGACCCCTGAGGGATATTGGCCGTCCGTCTCCTGGCCTTGATAGATATTCACCATGTGCGCTGGGTTTTCTCTGATGACTACATGCTTGCTCTGGGGACGTTCGTCGCCATCCCTGGTGGCCCGTGGCTCTGCTCCTTGTCCCTGCATAGACGTTCGTCGGAATGAGCTGCTGGGCCGGAGTCCTCCAACACCAGCCGTTCGTCCATCCCTAAAGAATATGGGCC